CCGCGGTTCAATCCCCCAGCACCACATGCCAGCCAGCCCTGCCCCCTGGTGGGCTGAGCTGGCCACACACACACACACACACACATAAATAAATAAATATTTAAAAAATAAAAATAAATAAAAAGGTCAGTCTGTCCTTTCAGATAACAAGAAGAAAAATAATCAGAGTTCAGTATCTTTCGAGGCTAAAGAAGAAGGAGGAGGAAAAAAAAAAAAAACGAACTAGGGGTCAGGGAGATGACTCAGTGGTATAAGCACTTCCCTGGCAAGTGCAAGGACCTAAATTCAATCCCCGGTTGGGGGGGGGGACTAAAAAAAAAATCAAACTAAATCATATTTAAAGATCTGCAGTGGCTGGGGTTTGATGCTGGCCTGCGGCCCGCCTGTAATACCAGCACTTGGGAGGCTGGGAGGCTGGAAACAGGAGGATCACTACATAGAGAGACCCTGTAGACCCGGCACTAAATAAAAAAAAATAAAAAGTTATATCATTCTGTGAAACCTGAGATATTCTCATGCCCTTTAAAAAAAAAAATCAACCTCAAATACTTCCTCATCCGCAAGGAAATACAATGACAACTAGCAAAGCTAATGGTTTTAGGAAGGTATCTCGGGAGACACAGCCCTGCAGGTGCAAATACCGGCAGTGAAAGTGCTGATGTTCTGCAGAGCCAGGAGGGAGGTGTCTGCTTTCAAGGGCTTTTCCTCCAGAGCAGACCTCCAGAGGGAGCTCAGCAGTATGTCCCCTAACATTCATTCTTCCAGTCAGACCGAGCTGATTGTTTTCAGTATCCTTTTAAGAGTCAAAATCCCTTGAAAGGACTGGAAAAGGATTTACTCATCAAATATAAATAAGAACTTTGTGTTTTGCATGCCAAGTTCAGATGACTAGAGACTAGATGTATCCATCCACCTACTAATCTGCTTAAAAAATGTACACATATATTAACAGTATAAATTTGATGTCTGAAACAGCAGGTGAAATGTCAAATGTGAAGAAAGTAGTAACTAAATATCAACTGATTTTTACTGTCACGTTTCCCTTTCCTTATGCCACGACCAGGAGGGCTTTTTGAATAGTTTAGCAACTGAACCTGTTTCAATGAACAGGTGTTTTGAGACAAGGTCTTGTTGTTTTGTTGTTTGTTTTGAGACAAGGTCTTGTTACACGTTCAGGATGGCCTCGCAATTGATACTCCTTCGCAGAACAGTTTTAATGTTACTCTTCAGTCCTACCTCCTTACAAATTTTGATTCAAGGTTTAGCAATATATAGGCGTCTATTTATAGTGGCCTAGTCACTATAAACTGGGCCTCCTAAGTACAAACCTATAGTCAACTATCTTGACAAAAAGCCAAGCCAAAAAAAAAAAAAAAAAAAAAAAAAGCCACGCAGCCTTATTTAGACATACAAAACCTACTTCCTAAGACTCTTCAGTGTGTAAAAATTCATTTCC